ATACCAAAAATCTTTTCCTACTTTTTAGTCACACATTCTCCTAAAAATCACTATTTAAGACACTTTTTTCTACAATAATGGTTATCAAATAGGCTCTTCACATTCTCATCAAATTTACAAAGATTTGATGAGATCGTGCGTTTGTAAATCATTATGTACGTGCATCACAATTGTTAAATGTTTAATTAAAGCTATGGATTTAAATTTTAAATATTAAAGTAACCGGTCTATGCCATTTAAAAAGGAGTGATGATGGTTTTATTTCAAGATTTAAATTTAAAAAAAGAAAGGGAAAAAAGAAAGGAAACATTACATATGCAATGGGTTTCAAAATACAATTTCAAAATTAAGAAATTAGGTTTATTATTTCAAAATCAATTTTCAATTAAATTACACTAATTAAATAAATAATTAAAAAATATTTTTTTAATTAAGATTATAGTATTACATAATTTAAAGCCACAATTACTTAGTAGTAACAATTATAGACGTCACAATCACAAATTTTATAAATCATAAATTATCGAATTCATGTATTATTTAATCACAAATTATAAATTTTATAGGTCACAATTTCTTATCGGTCACATATTATTAATTTAATAGGTCGTGTATTATTTTTCAATCACAAATTAGTTATCGATCATAAATTACAAATTTTAAAAGTCAATATTTATTTCATGATCATAAATTATCAAATTAATTGATCACGATTACTTCTCCATCACAAATTAGTAAATTAATTGGTCGTAACTTAACAAATTGCGAGTCACAATTACAAATTTAGCCGTTGTTTGATTGTCATTATTTTTAAATTACTTTTTTCTCTCCCATATTTTCAATCACACATTTTTCAGTAAAAATAATATTACATCAAAATCCAAAACTTTTTCTTATTTTTGAACCATGAATTCTTTATCAATCTACTACTCCAAAATGCATTCTTCAATAAAAATAGGATTCAAACAAGCTCTTAGTCAAAATTTCCCATTTTAAATCACATATTATTTATAGGTCACAAATTATATATTTTATTGATCATAAATAAATCAATTTATTTCTCATAATCAACCAAATTATTGGTTACAGACACTTGTCTTCTCCACCACCACCGCCAACATCATCATCACTTCACTAGCTTCGCCACCTCGCCAATATAGCCAATACCACCACCATCAACTACTGCAAACACTACAAAACAGAATCCCTACACAACCATTGCAAAACCAAATCCAACATAAGAATTGTTGTAAAGGCAATGATTGCAGCATCATCACCACTACAACAGAGGTGATGTGCGCAGGCTCTCACAACGTGCGCAACAATGCTCATTGTCGTTACGCGCAATGTACTCTCCATCATGGTGTAGGATAGAGAATGGAGGGAGAGAAGAGGGAATATGTAGAGAAAATGGAGAGAGAGAGAGAGAGAGAGAGAGAGAGAGAGAATTTAGATCATAGGATTTGAGTGAAATTTCGGTTTAGGGGGTGCCGTGGGTATATTAATTTGATTTTATAATATTATTATTTAATATTAAAAAAATTAAATTATTACCTAACTGTATGAATAAACCTTAGGCCTTGTTTGAGCCGCATTCTTCGTATAAAAATATATTTTTAAACAGTGATTTGATATTATTTCACTCATACATTTTTCAACAAAATTATATTACACGCAAATTCAAATTCTTTTCTCATTTTTAACCCCAAATTCTTCATTAATTTACTATTTTAAAATACATTATTTCAAAATAACGTGCCTCAAACAAACACTTAAACTTGATTTTTGAAGTTGAAACTTAAAAAATCTGCCCCGTACGTATTTCCACTAAAAAAAAATTGGGTACAGGCCCAATAAAATCGTGAGTTGGCCCAATTGAAAGCCATCTTATTGACGTAATCCATAAGTGCACATCCAACAGCAACAAGGCCCGTTATTAGTCAATAGAACGGGTCTTTGCGTTTTTTTCCTTCGTATTGTTGCGCATAAAATTGGGAACATCTTTACTAAAAAGGGATTTTTGGCACCAATTGTATGTGTTCCAGTGATTTCTTCCAGGATAAATCGTCGCCACCACCCCAAAATTGGAAGGTAATATCCGATTAATTGGCTAAAAACATGCTTTAAATCTATTGGCTCGATTTGATTGCTGTGAATGATTTAATTTCAACACGACCTAGATCTAATCCTGCTGAGTTACCATTATCAGTTGTAGGAAAAAGGGGCCGATTCACTCGTAAGATTCCGTCCAGCCTTATTGCCATTCTCTTCTTCTAGGTCCGTGGAATTTATTGTTATTATTTTTTTCTAATTTGTTGTATCTTGATGGTAATCTTCCTAACGCGATTTTCTCGATAATATTGAATTTTTGATGGGGCTGTTTATGGTTTTCTCCTTGCCTCAAGTGTGATCGGTGAAATACCCGTGACCAATATCCTACTAGTCCCCAGGTGGCTCGGCTCCTACACGTTCTATATAATAATATATTCTAGAGGCCCCTCCGTGGTGTGGGTGGGTGAGTTGGGGTTTGGAGAGGGGGGAAACTTATGTGCGTTTTTAAAAGATGACTTTTGCATTTTGGAATCTGGTTTCTGGGAGAGTGAATAGTCTATCCACTGCCAGTGTGGAAATAATTACTCAAGCATGCCTGGAATTTACCTGTGTAACCGTGTTAAGCACCGAAGAACTCGGATGTCAAGGTGGAGCTCTGATGGAGAGAGTTGCTTGAGGGAAAGTTGAAGTAATAGGAGTGTTCTGGAGGCAATGGTGATGATGCTCAAGATCCTGTATTTACTTAGTTTCCTTAAAGGTACGTGTGTGTCATGAAGATGAATTCATGGGTTGAGGCTCTTTCCGGAAGGGCGAATGGTCCAAATCGAATGTGAAAAAGAGTGTTGAGCTGTCCTATGTGGTGGTGTGACTGAGTACTGTTCGTAGTTCAAGTTATTCAAGCTACCATATTAGTTCTTCATTTAGAACATCAAATTTGGATAAAATGTTGTTTTGTAGTGTTCTTTGAAATTTGTAATCCAAGTTTTTTGTCCACTGTGGGAGATGGCACTTTTGTCCTTCCCATTCCTTTGGAATTAGAGAAGCTGTAGGAGATATCAAAGGAAACAAATATGAATTAAATTTGTCCATGGGACTTGCCAAGGCTTCTGATGGTAAGTAATTGTTAATGATGGTGGCATGCAGTATCAAAGTACACGCCATGCTCTGACTTGCATATTTTTAACTCTTATCAAAGAAGTATGATAGATGTCATTGATAAGTCTTCATTGATTGGAGCACACACTTGGGTGCGTAGGGGAGCCAGCCTGGGGGGAAGGCAGATGAAATATAGAAAGACATTCCTCTAGCATTAGTGGAACCGGGTGTTTGGCTTAGAACTTAAGTGTCCAACTCATGCGATGGCTTCAAATGCTCATGATGTTATCTCAACAGATATGGGGGGGCATATATGATGAATTTTTGAGACTCTGTTTCCTACTTCATCTTGTAAAATTTTAAAATTAGGAAGGATAAAACCTGCTTGGCAGTTGGCATTATATTTCCTGTTTACCTTTTTATCAAAGTCAAACTTTAGCACTCATATAGGAAATGAGTTTCTTCCCTTCCCTTTGATTCTCTTTGGCAATACCGAGGACAGAGTAGATGCATGTATCAATTATATGCTATTAAGCAAGGTGTGTAACGCAACATTTAGAATATGTTTTAGATGAGGAAAAATGTTTCTTTTCTTTTGCCTCTTAAAGTAAGACAGAACAAAAATTATCATATGATAAGGCCTTTAATTTTAAGAAATATTTATCACATTTGCTATTGCATTCAAGCTTACTGTGGTTGCTCCTTATCCGATCCACTAATCCAATGGATATTTGATTGTTAAATCGATATCTGATTTGCTATGTTATCGGATATTCGATTCGATAATCCAATCCGAAAATGAAAAAATTAGGAGGATAAAAATTTTATATTAGTTGAATTAAAAGGCCCAAATAATTTTTTACCCAATTCTTGGCTTGTTTATTTATAGATTGTAAATCCTATAATGTTCTAATGAGTATCCGATGTGGGAAGTTGGGAACAATGAAAGTTACTCCAATTGTTTGCCCCTTTGGTTGTTTAATTTATAAAATAAATTAATTTTTTATCTTATTTTAATTAATAAAAAATTAAAAATTCTTCATATATTTCATTTAACAATATTACACTATTATCTAATATTATTTATTATTTGAAAATTATGTGTAAAGTGTAATGAAGTTCCAAACTGATAAAAAATGTGTAATAAATTATGCGATAATATATAAAATATATTGTATTATTATAATAAGTCGGATCGGATTGACTTATATCCATATTTGCCTCATTTAGTTAAAGAATTATCGGATTTGAATCTTGATCGGGTTATCGGACTGAGACCTTAAATCCATATCTTATTAATTTAATAGATTTGGATCAAAATCCAATCCATTGATAGCCCTAGATGTATGTGGATATAGTGTAAAGGATATTTATGATCCTTAGTATTTGTTTTGGTGTACCTATGAAGGAAGCTAAAGCCATAAAGAGAAGAAATCATCAAAGGTAAATCTTTGAGGAAAGATTTGTGTGACTTTTGACTTCAAAAATGTGTTTTCAGTTTAATGATTCAAGATGGCTACTTTTTTCATGTACAGCGAAGTTTGTTTGAAAAATAAGTCATGAAATATGCTTGGAGGAATTTTAGAGTAGAACATATATTATCTGAATAGGACTTCTTAGAAAGATTATGCCCTGAATGGCAAGTCAAGTTGAGATCACGTAGATGTGAATTCATGTATCCACTAACATATACTTCCCTACATTTTATCAACTGAACTTTATTTTGAACATACAAAACAAGGTTGAGGTGTACTCAAATCTGAATTTTATGAGGAAGAGAATGTGTCGTCTTTGAAAGAAAGATGATACTTGCTCCTGTTTCAAAAATATTCTACAATACCTGTTTCTTTCCTTTAAAAGTAATCTTAACAGGACCATAATCCTCAAATTCCTTGAAACAAATTTGGGTTCTCATCAATGGTTTTGAGTAAAACCATCTTATTATTGGTTTCCTACAACAGATTGTAGAGGAAAAAAATTGATTTCTCTAACATCCTCCCAAGTGATTGAAATAATCTTATGAATCAAAATTCAATTCTCTTACGCACTTCTACTATTATCTTTAACCTCATCAGCATTTTTGTTAACCACCAAAAGCTTGTTTGGCAAAGTCCTTTTTTAAAATCATTTTCAGCCACAAATTCTATTGAACCCCCAACTTTTTCTCACATTTTCACCACGCATTCTCCATATTTTTTTTTTTTCACTTGGAAAAGTCTATGCCAAACAAGCTTTAAATGTGTTTTAAAAAAAAAAAAAATCCTATCAGGAAAAGACTATGAGAAGAAGCCAATGTATATCACCTGTTATTGAACATGGTCTCATGAGCTAAATAGAAGTCTTGTCCTCGAAAAACTTTTTCTGGGACTTGTAGGTTTGTAACCATTGTTCATGGTAGTCACTTTTTTTCAAATCAAGGTGGTAAATATAGAAGAAAGCCTTGGTAAATAGCATTGTGGCATAGAGGTTTTGCTTTTTTGCTTAAAAAACTGTTTTATTATTTCAGTTCCTTGGAAGTTCTCTTGGAATGCTGGCCACCTCTCTTGTAAAGCTGGAATATGGGCATGATTTCAATCTCTGAATAAGAAGCCATGATTTTTCTTCCCCCCCTTGCTCTTAGTACTGCTCCCTAATCACAAGTATCAATCTAATTCATTCTTGCTTGTGTCAAATAAACATCTAAAATACCATTCTTATCTATGGCTTACGTTTTCTTTACCATTCTTAACGTGCATGATTATTTATTTAAAATCTGCTATTAATGTAATTTAAATATCCACCCAAGAATTATTCCGTTTGTCCTCATCAAGATTATATGAGGTCTTCTACTTCTCTTAGGATGCAATGTAAGTGCAATTATGGTTCATAAAAAGTTTTGAGATAATTTTTTGGTAAGTAAATAACTTGTTTGGATGATAGTTTTTCTTGTGAAGTAGCTATATGATCAAGGTGAAGTCTTCAAGCTATTTGGATCAAGGTTTGTATAACACTGGGTTCAGAACACTTGTTGCTGATTGCAAGTTTGGGTTTTATGGTAGATGTCTGCTGCAGGGAATGATTTCCCTTATTATGCTGCCGTATCGTTGGATCCCCAAAGAATCTCTGCATTTCTGTTACTATAGCATTAGGCTTATTTTCAACCTGCATTCCCCCCTTTGACCTTTTCTGACTGTTTATTTAAGTTGGTTGATTTGGATAACTGCACAAGTATTTTAGTATAGCACTTGGAACATCTTAATGTTAGGTGGAATGCAAGTCTTAAGCCTGAAAAGGTATAACTGAATTAGTTTGTTTAGCTTATGATTTGTTAGTGGAATTTGTTTTGGAAGTTGCGAGTATAAAGTTCGTTGATATTTTACAATGTTTGTGAATAAAAAGGTTGTCAGTAGTGCTTGTCTTTGTTTATGGACATTGAAAGTTGTTTGAACTTTTTATGCATGTATTGTGCTCTTAAATTTTAGCATATATTATGTATATTGTTATAATTATTTTATTTTAATCTTTTTTTTTTTTTTTTTTTTTTTTTTTTTTTTTTTTTTTTTTTTTTTTTTTTTTTGGGGATAGGCATTTTGGGTCACAGTTTGCGCCCTTGTTATTTTCTGATATATTTTACTTGGGCTGTGTTCTGTCTTCTGATGGAAAGTATCCTTCTTTAACTGTCCAGGCCACCTAAAATAATTTTGGATGACATTGGGACTTAATTTGAATAATGGCTTCAAGTATGTTGGCTGGAGAGCGGAGGTATTTAATGATCTATGAAATCTTTTATTTCTTAGCCTTGTAGTACCACATTATGTTGTTCTTTTACTTCTCTTCTGAATTTACACTTCCTGTATCTGGCCTTTCTAGACTGATAAGTTCTGGGAAAGCACTATGGTGCCTGTTGGTTTTTGTATTGGCATGACATTGATCAGGGAAAGGTCAAGGGTAAAGGGTCAAGTGGTTGAACTAGTGATCATAAATTAAGAAAGAAATAAATAAATACAAAATACTTATAAGAGTGTAACATTTGAACTCTATTCTAATTTTCTAGATATATTTATTTTATGTATTCTTGAGAAATTAGAACAAAGTGGGCCAACATTTTCATGGATTGGGTTTCATTTCCATTTTTGTGCCCTCATTGGTACAACTGTGCAACAACCAAGATGTGTAATTGCAGGGAGTTAGTTGTTATAAGTTCAACTTGTTCCAAATTGTAAATATCATTTACTATGAGAGATGGATAGGCTATAAATATGCCTGCCTACTGAGTGGAATAAATTAGCAGGCTCGCATTCTATGCATGCATGTAATTTTTCAAAAAAAGAAATTGACCTTGAACACCATGAGAACTGTGACCTGTTCATCGGGTTCCAGTTGAACCAGCCTGTTCACCGGTTTTCAAGGTGGTTTTTAACTGGTTTTAAAGGTTAACCGCCCTTCTTTGGAACCGGTTCACAGTTTTACCAGTCCAACCAGTCGAGGTGGGCCAGTTTTGATATTATTGGTAATTATTATCTTAAATTTTTATTTTCATTTTTACTGTTATTTTTGTTATAGGTGGGCTTCTGCAAGAAGGGGTGGAATGACTGTTTTGGGGAAAGTTGCTGTACCAAAGCCCTTGAATTTACCCAGCCAAAGGTATCTGCTGAGTTATTTTTTGGTTTACCTTCTGATTTTTCAGGTGCAATCTGACACTTTTTCTTGATTTTACTTCAAGGTTAGAAAATCATGGTTTGGATCCCAACGTGGAAATTGTTCCCAAGTGAGTGACCAGTATCATTTGTGTTCTCAATCATCATCCATGTTTCCTATTTGTTATCTATTGCAAAGACACTTTAGTGCATAGCTTTCTCAATGAGTTATCTTTGTAGTTCAAGTGCTACACTTATCTGAATCTGGAGTTTACTTCTTTTCTTTCTGTATTGTTTTGCATTGGATTGAGCTTCTCTTTCTTGTGACATAGGGGTACGCTTAGCTGGGGAAACCGCTCATCTTCTTCTGCATCAAATGCATGGAGTTCTTCTATGCAGTCTCCAAATGCTGACGGTGACACTATTTCTCCTAGTCATCTCAGTGCCCGCCCTTCATCTAGTGGAAGTTGTACTCGACCATCAACTGCTGGTAGTGATAGAACTCATGAACCTACAGCCAATTCGTGGACTCCAAATTCTAGACCTTCATCGGCTTCTGGGACCTTGGCATCAAATCAGACATCATCGACGTCTTTGCGTCCTAGAAGTGCAGAAACCAGACCTAATAGCTCACAACTCTCGAGGTTTGCAGAACCTGTGTCCGAAAGTTCGGTAGCATGGGGTCCAAGTAGTGCTGCGGGAAGATTGGTATAGTTCTGTCTAGAGAAACATTTACCCTACTAGTATCTGGCTCTTCAATTGTCATCGCCGAATACTTAAGTACTGTGCTTGCTTCATCAAAAGGGATAAACTAAATGATCCACTCTTAGCAGTTATTATAGATAGATAGTGATAGAATATATTGGTCAGTAATGCATCTGCATTCCCCAAACTCCTCGTTCTCTGAGATCATCCTGTTGAGGCTATTGTATAATCTCAGCTTCCCCCTCCCCCTCTCTATGTTCCTGCGATTTGAGTTATGGTGATAGTAGTGTTGCATAACCTGTTCTCCAGATCCTCATGAATGAAAGGACTAAAAATGTATATCTTAACTAATTTGAATAGATATTAACATTTTCTTGAAAAATAATTTATTTTGGTTAATTGATCTTTTAGTATATTTGCAGGGTGTGAAATCTTCCAAGGAAGATGGGTTCTCTCTGAGTTCTGGGGATTTTCCTACACTTGGTTCTGAAAGAGACAATTCTGTGAAGGATATTGAATTACAAGGTGTGCATATGTGATTATAGAATTACTGTACATTTGTGGATACTTCTCATGCACGTTAAAATTGTTGGCTCTTTCGTGGCTTGCTAGTCGTGTGCTTTTGACAAAATAGAAAACTAGGAAATCAACTATACTTTCGATTAGGAAAGTGACCTATAATTTTAAAAAAAAAAAAAATTTAGACTAATTTATTTAGCCATGTGGCAGCTTGCCAGAATAATGTAAAGTGTGAGGATAAACTGTGTAACGCACTTTCATTGTTGTACTAAGAGCAGGCAGTAGTGGTTTTCACATGCATAGTGCCATGTATCTTCTTCAGTTCTCGGTGAACCTGTTGAAATCATTTGTGAAGCAATGGTTATGTTAAAGAACGTTATTTAAGCTTTCTATTATGGCCGTTTGTTGGGTTTTGGTATGATACCTCTGCATCTTTTTTGTAATTCTGATGATGGACTATCTTCTATTTACACCTGTTATCCTCTCAGATTTTTTTATACCTACATATCTTTTTTGTGATTCTGATGATGGACCATCTTCTATTTACACGTGTTATCCTCTCAGAATTTTGTCTTAAATCAAATGAAAGATTTTTTGATGTATGAATGTTATATATTATTATATCATTATTTGCCTTGTTCACTGTTATAATAGTTGGATTTTGGCATACACTTGTAAGCAATTTTGGAAACTTTTGACATTTAAAAACAGATGGATGTAGAATGTGTGCATTACTGACACCTTAGTTGACAATTCCTGACAGATCATGTCTCTCACGAACACCCTGGCTCTGCTTCTGGCAGAATATCTCAGACAGATGGGAAGATCACAACTCCTCAGGATGGTCAGCACCCCTCAATTTTTTAGAACATAAAGTTACATTCAGCTATCAATACTAGATTCGGTTCTGTAGAATTTTGCTCTTACGTGATACTTCTCTTAGTGCAGTTACCAAGAGTGGAACTAATAATACATGGAAGAGACATGGTACCCGATCTACAGAGGATGGTATTCATCCTAGCATGGAGAAGTGGCAAGGGGAGCCCCAACAATATTACCACTCCAATGTCCCCCCTCAGCATTTTGATTCATGGCGTGGTCCTCCTATAAATGCTCCACCTGGCGTTTGGTATAGGGGGCCTCCTGGGGGACCGCCATTTGGAGCCCCTGTTGCTCCTGGTGGCTTTCCAATGGAGCCATTCCCTTATCATCGTCCTCAAGTTGTACCTGTGCCTTTAGCTGGTTCACAACCTGTACCTCCACCAGGTGCTGCTCCTAGAGGTCCCCATCCAAAAAATGGAGATTTATACAGGACGCAGATGCCCGATGCCTATGCACGCCCAGCTATGCCATTTAGGCCTGGGTTTTACCCTGGTCCAATGAGTTATGACAATTATTATAGACCACCAATGGGCTATTGCAATGGCAATGAACGTGAAATTCCATATATGGGGATGGCTGCAGGCCACCCTGTGTTTAATAGATATCCTGCCCCAAGTGCTCCTGATCCTAGTTATTCCCATGGCAGACCGGATGGGCGTGGGTCCACAGGCAAAGCATTGTCGGAAAAAGTGGAAGCTGATCATTTAGAGGGCCCTCAAGGACCCCACAACATTCCGCCAAAGAATCAGAAAGAGTGGGATACGAAGGAGGAAGGGGAAAATTGGGAACAAAATTTACGATCTAGTGCCTCACATCGTGGAAAGCATGGTCTACTCTTGATATCATCCCGGAAAACTGAGTGGGGGGCTGATGATGATGTAGATGAAGATATATTTGGTGAGCAGACAACACCACATGAGAAAAACACTTCTCATAATTTTGATAGTCATTCTACGAACACCATCAAAGAAAAGTCGTCCAAAGGTATAGGCAATTTCAAAGCTGCTAATGACAATTGGACAAAGAAATCAGAAATTGTGGCACGTTTTCCTCCTGAACCACCACAGCCAACTCTAGCTAGTGACAGAGATACATCTTTGCTGGCCCCAGCAAAAGATTCAGCTCTAATGCAGAAAATTGAAGTTTTAAATGCAAAAGTCCGTGCAACTGACGGACGTCATGATGTTCCTGCTGCTTACAACAGGGAAGAGCAAAGGAGTGGGTTTCAAGTTGCTGAAGCCAAGTTTAATAATTTTACTGTTGAAGCTGGTAGTACTGCTGGATCTTTTGAAAGGACTTCTGCTTCTGGAGATTTTGTCCCTGTCCCCCACGAAGTGGTTGTTCCAGTCGGGGATAAGATTTCTCAGTCTGCGGCTCTTGTGTCTAGGTCTGCTGAAAAATGTTGTTCTGCTATCTTTCACACTTATATCCATTCCTAAACTTCTTCAAATTTACAGGAGAGCATATCATGGTGGGCAAGGTAGAGTTGACCATCACTATAAAGGAAAGTTCAACAACCAGGATGATGATGGATGGCAGAAGAAGTTTGATGTGATTACAGCTTCAAATATTGAATCTTCAGATGATATTCATGCATTTGGTACAGAGGATACTGAGAACTCAGTGATCCATTCGGTGATGGATGGAGGACAACCTTGTGCAGAGTCATATGATTCAACTGATATCCAGGCACAGGTATTATATTTACATGTTAACTAATTTTATTTCTCACTTGCTTAATGTATATAAGTTTCTATTTGGCCATGTGTTTATGTATTCAATCAGCGTGCAAAGATGAAAGAGACAGCAAAGCAACGTGCCTTAGAACTACAGAAGGAAGAGGAAGAAAGAACGAGAGAGCAGAAGGCGAAGGCTTTGGCTAAATTGGAAGAACTGAATCGGCGAACACAAGCAGGCGAAGCTGGAAACCAGAAAGCCGGAAGAACTCAGGGAACCCAGAATGCGGAGACAGCTCTGGTGATTGGTGTCTTCCAGGGAGAGCAAAAAGAAACACGTGTACTTGGTGAACAAGCAATGGTTAACCTCAAGTTCCAGGCACCTGGCCCTACTTTGGTCTCGGAGTCTGACAGAGAAAGCAGTGCTAGCCATTATAGACAATCTGCTAATATTTCCAGAGAATTACACATGGAGACACCTTGGACATCTCATTTGGAACACATTTCTCATGGTCAGTCTTCGCCTTTGAAACAGGATTCTTATAATATGGGTGCGAAAAACGCATTTGAATCTACTGATGAAAGTGTCTCTAGACATAAGCACATATTTTGTGAACAAAAGCCGAATGATCCATCACAGAAGAATTCAAATGAAAAATCATCTCTAAGCGAGGCTCCGAAAGATCTCACTGATGTACGTGTTAATGACGTTACCTTGACGGAGGTTGCTTCAAGTGTCAGAGCAAGTGGTGAGGCAAATGCACCGAATACCTCTATTATCATGGCTGAACCCACCACACATCAGGGAAGGAAAAATAATAGGTATAGTAAGAATAAGCAGAGACTGGACGAGGCTGCAGTCATCTCTCCAATACCGTCAGTCACGCTGGAGGAGACTAATCCTGCAAAAGAGTCCATTGAAACTGGAAAGTCCAAGGTTTTGCTGTCTGATTTGGATAGCTCAGTCTCAACAAAGATTGAGCCTGATGGAGGATTGCAAGCTTCTGAGGTGCAGTCTACTTTCCACGATGAAGCAGTCCATAGCAGAGTAAACAAACAGTGGAAACCTCCATCCCGCAGAACGCCACAAAGTCTACAGGCTAATAGGATAGTGGAAAAATTTCACAGCAATGACACTATAATGTGGGCCCCAGTCCATTCACAAAGCAAAGTTGAGAGTGCAGTTGAAGCAAGTCAAAAATCATCTACTGAATCTGTGACTTCAGTGAAGATTGATAATCTGGTGCAGAATAGTTCAAAAGGCAAAAGGGCTGAAATGGAGAGATATGTTCCGAAGCCTGTGGCTAAGGAGCTGGCACAGCAGGGAAGTTTTCAACCCATGCCATTTTCAACTAGTACTACACCAGAAGAAGCCGCTGGGAAAGCACAACCTGAGTCATCTAAATCTGCAAGTCCACCACCCAACAGCTCAGCAACTGGAATTGTTAGGTCTGGTGTAGACTTCAAGGAGGGAGATGGCAGGCATAACAAGCAACGAAAAGCACATGGAACATGGCGACAACGGAATTTTACAGAACATGGAACATCGAATAGTACGAGTGTCCATCATGGACCATCTGTTACTTCTAACCCAAGCAAGGACATTCAAAGATCCACAGACCAAAATCAATTTGTCAAGCGTGAAATAAATGCACCAAAAGCTGAATCTCATAGTTCCAGAGATAACAACACGTTGGATAGCAGTAACATGTCCAATGTTATTGAATCAGCTGCAGCTGGAAAATCTCTTGCTGTGAAAGATCAGGTAACAACAGGTAGAGGAAAGCGATATCTATCGAAGGGCCATAAAAGCATGGGAAGCAGTAATGATCCTGAACTCACAAACACTGTTCGTAGTGAATCTGCAGCTACTGATGTGAACCAGACGGACAGAACTATTTCTATTTCTTCGAAAGAAAGTCACAGCTCTGGGGAGCGAATGTCGTCTCATTGGCAGCCCAAGCCTAACACAAATTCAGAAAATAATCAGAACCGAGGCAGAGCTGCTGGAACTGGAACTATTAATGTGGGAACTGATAGGGCTTCAAAAAGGGATCTTCGTGCCAAGAGTAAGGTGCATGTTCCACCTCAAGATGACAAGAAAAGCTGTGAAGTTGATCGACCTCATCCGGATGATTCTGTCCCCAAAAGTAATATGGCTGTTGAGCCTGATGTAGGGCATCATCAAGAGTTGTTCAGAGAGAGGAAGCCTGCTCCAGCGAAAGGACGGCCCTATTCCCCATCGCAAGTTCCTGTTGGAGTTGGTGAATCAGCTCCTGCTGCTGCTTACACAGCTGGTGAGAATGACCCTAATTTTTCATCTGGTTTTAAGAGGATTGGAAACCATAACAGTCGTTCTAGCAGAGGCCATGAATCTCATGGAGATTGGTCTTCAGGTCATGATAGCCGGCAACACAATGTAACTGCATTTCGTGAAAGGCAGAGGCAGAATGTGCATTACGAATACCAGCCAGTTGGGCAGTATAAGAATGGCAAAACTGAGAAGCATGTAGCATCTGGAGATGGATCTAATGATGTAGCCCCAAGATACAGAGAGAGAAATCCGAGTCACTCAAAGCGAGATGGAGGAAATTTTCACAGGCGTCAAGGTGGTCCTGCCCGGATCAATTCTGGTCACGACTAAAGGCTGGAATTAGGCCTCCTCTTTTGTGAAGCTAATCTTCCTAATATTGGAGTAGTTTGATTAATCAAGTATTCAGGTATTTGCCAGTGTAGATTTATGCTATGTTTTAGTTTGGCCACGCACTTGTTCAATCTGTTGACTAATACCATTATGTCTGGTTGTGTGTTAATGCCAGGAAATATGATGTGACAATATCTTCATTTTACTACTGTAGTAGCTGACTTGGATATCGTAATCTTGTTCAATATCTTCATTTCACTACTGTAATAGCTGACTTGGATATCAGTAATCTTGTTGCTATTTGTAACCCGAGGAATATTTACAGCACCCCTGAATTTCTCTTTTCACCTGATACCACTCTTTCCATCTGTCTATCTTTGTTTGTACAGACAAACGGGTCCAAAACTTCTGTGAAATTCTGTGGTATGGAATCAACCTAGTCCTTTTTTGAACATGTGATGTGATGATCTGGCCGAAGTTGGTGTCGGCCATTGGTTTGCTTTACGTCATTGTAAATAATTTCTTGGTTATTGTTGCGTTTACGGTAACAGGTTGTGTGTCCTTAAAACAAAAAAAAGGATGGCTTTTTTCCTTCTAAATTGTGTGCGTTATAAACTAGCTTAATGTATTGGCTTGGATATTATGTATGTTGTTTCCAATTCCATTGTTCCAGACCCAATACAATGTTTTAGATGATTTGGTTCTTGCTTACGAGTTGGTTTTGATTTCGCACTATCTGGTGGTCACTCGCATTAAGTTAGTGTTTTTCTAGCAATGAATAGAACAAGTTGGCGAAAAATTATTCATGCAATTGATCCCAATTTTGTTGGGGGAAATGCTCAGTTGATTGTATTTAATTTTAAAACTTCCAATCACTTTTATAGCCTCCTTTTCTAGGTAGATTTTTGATCAATAAGAAGTTAGGAATTTTTTGACAGGGTTCATGCCATGATGATCTACATGGAAGAGCTTAAAAAATGGCATTTCGATAGGACTGTTAAGCAAAAAGTCGAAAAGGTCCCTCCTCAAAGCGAAAATAATTGAAGTCATATTCAGAGCAAAACAACTTTACACAAAAGATGGCACTCGTGCTCATCATGATAAAAGAAAAATAACTTTCTAATATAGGCCAACAAAAAAATTTTAAGTCCAAATTTTATATTTGGCAATTTCTAAATTTGTAATTGGCAATTTTATTAGTCAAATGAATTTAATTGTATTAAAAGTTAATTGTGTTGTGATCAAAGTCAAAATATGAGTAATGAAATTGTAATTAAAGGTTAATAGTATAGCCATTGAAGGAGTCAAAGATGATCAATCGCATATGATCAATAGAATGCAATTAAATGTCAAATGAGAGTCAAAATGTCGCATAAGTTTTGCTCTAAATTTCCAATTACAAGTTACGACACATTTTTCACATAGAAAAAATTTGACTTTGAAAAATGCTATTTCTTGAAGAGTTGTAATCCTTTAAATTAGCTTTTCAATTCATTTTGAATCACCTCAATTAGACATTGGGAGAGAAAGAGTTATGACAAAAATTTTGATCGCTACTCAGTTGCTGCTCGAACAGTATGATTATCCGAGGAACAGTAAAATTCGATTTTCAAATTGATTTTGAGTTCCCTTTCATTCCAAACTTTACTCTTTATAAATATACATCTTATGAGATGTCTAACAGTGTGGTTGAGCAATATTTTGATTGCAGAGATCATTTGTTGAAGATCCAAATATCTTTTCATTGATTCAATCGCAGTATTATTGGTTCATTATTCAATCCACATATTGATCCTTCATTAGTAGAGCCTTGTTGTCAGTCAAAAGTTCGCTATTTGAAAGCCACATAAATATTCCAATATCTCTTGTATCAGCCTACATGTCAAAGCATAAAAGATCCTTTGATCAAACACTAAAACAAAACCCTACATTTGCCAATTAGCCTTTAGAAGTTTAGAGATTTGGATAGAGAAGCTTGGAATTTCGACGCACGAGAATGAGGTTCGTTATTGTTGATACACAGAGAGAAAAGTAGCTTAGAGTTTTGAGAAGTGCGAAGTGCACAACTGAAGAAATTCCTAGGTGATTTACAAGCTGGGTGGTTAGAGTAAGCTAAGGCTTAGCAGTATTTGAACTAATTGTAAGTTAACTTTTATAATAAATTTTATTGGCAAGTTTGCCTAGAGGTTGTTTATCCAGTTAGAGATTTACCTCTGTGATCATATTTGGTATTATATACTTTTTATTGCCTTTGATCTAAATGTTTATGATTGCTTAAATATAGGAATTAATTGAATTAATTACATTAATCATTTAGAGATATTAATAAGTGACTTCTTATTTGTTATTGTTTTAATTCTGCATTTGGGTATAAACTATTTGGTAAATTTAAACTTTAAAAAATGATTACTATTTATCATTACCTAAAGTTGTTGCAATTCATTAAACTATCAGCCAACCATTATAAAAGAATTTAATTAGAAAAATGATGAAATCTATCTAGATACTATTTAGAAGAATTTGTTTTGATTCGAACTTCTTTTCCTAAAAAATACATGGAAAAGAACGAAAAAAAGGGAGAGAATAAAAATAGAAAGAGAATCACTCCTTATCTTAAAAGAGAATGTGAGGTTTATTGTTCATTTTTGTCACATAGATTTTCACATGAAAACTAATTTGAAACTGGTTTAACAACAGTAAATTATTCTATTTAATCACACTATAACATTTTTTTTCACACGCTATCTCACTATTTTAAATCGTCATTTCATTGATTTCTTCATTTTCACATACTGCTTCACTTGATTAAAGCCAGTACTATATATTATATAATAAAGAAATGAAATTAAATACAAAGATTATTAAAAAATTAAATTGTCGACAAAAATAAAAAAAATTTACCATAAAGTTTTTAAATTAAATTAAAATGATTTTTTTTCAAAAATAAATATTATTTAATTGAAATTTAGCGAATGTCGTTGTATCGTAAGGAATGTATAAAAATTATTTTATTAAACCAATAAAACAAAATAAAATTTAAAAAAAATAAAATAATATACAAATATTATTTTATTAATTAAAATTGAAAAAATAAATTTTATCATAAAAGAATTATAAAGAATTTTATATCTAAAATAAAATATGAACAAAATTATCCCAAAAGAAAATTATAATAATAAAAAAAATTTCTCTGAACAAAAGGAGAGCAAAAGGAGACCTTTTGCACGGAGTGTTTGATAACCACTCTGTGCATGGAGTGGTGATATGTACCCCCCGCTATTTATAGTAATTTTTTTTATTAATAAATATTTAATTTAAAAAAATTAAATATATATTCTAAATATTTACATAAAAATGTTGAGGTCCCTCTTTACCTTAAAAGAGAGAATGTGAGGTTTACTGTTCATTTTTATCACATTAATTTTCGCATTGAATTTGTTTGAAATTGGTTTGGTCCTTTGAATCTGACGCACAATATCTTTCTTTATTTTCTTACACTATCAATTATCAACCATATCCTATAATTTTATTATTAGTAATATTTTTTAAATAATATTGTCACACTGTATTTTGTTTTTTTAAATTGGTGGATCAGAAACGACGTTGTTTTCTATTTTACCTGCAGCGTACATGCTTTAAATTTGACACAGTATTCTTTCTCCATTTTTTCATGGTATCAACTATCGACAATATCTTATAATTTTATTAGTAATAATAATTTTTTTACATAAAAGTTATTTTTTATTTCTAAAATGTAAAAAGTTACTTATAACTAAAAAGATCACTTCAAATTATTTAAAAGTAAAACGAACTTATAATTATAAAAGCTATCTATAAGTAAAAAATATTAACTTAAAATTTTTTAAGTCTAAATATTTAAATATATTTAGTTTTTAAAATTAAATATTAATAAAAAGATTACACTATCTAAAATGTAAAAAAGTTACTTATAAGTAAAAAAACACTTCAAATTATTTAAAAGTAATAAAAAACTTATAATTATAAAAGCTATTTATGGGTAAAAAACTTTTAATCCCTCATTCTCTTATAATTGTAAAAACTATTTATAAGTAAAAAAATATTAACCTTAATTTTTCTTATGTATAAATATTTAAATATATTTAGTTTTTTAAATTAAATATTAATAAAAAGATTACACTATCTAGAATGTAAAAATTTACTTATAAGTAATAAAATCACGGAGTGAAAATCACTCCGTGCATGGAGCCCCTATTTTTGTTTTTTTTTTTATTTTATTTATAGTAATTCTTTTATTAACATTTATTTTTAAAAAATTAAATATATCTAAATATTTACTTAAAAATGTTGAAGTTAAATATTTTTTTTAATCTATAAGTAGCTTTTACAATTATAGATTTTTTAATTACTTTTAAATAATTTGAAGTGATTTTTTTACTTATAAGTAACTTTTTTACATTCTAGATAGTGTAATATTTTTATTAATATTTAATTTAAAAAACTAAATAGATCTAAATATTTATATTTAAATAATTTTAAATTAATATTTTTTATTTATAAGTAGCTTTTGTAATTACAAGAGAACGAGAGATTAATATTTTTTTTTTACCTATAAGTAGCTTTTATAATTATAAGTTTTTTTTATTACTTTTCAATAACTTGAAGTATTTTTTTTTTTACCTATAAGCAACTTTTTACATTCTAGATAGTGTAATTTTTTTTTGTAAAAGTTACTTATAGGTAAAAAAATATTAATCTCTTCTTCTCTTATAGTTGTAAAAGTTACTTATAAGTAAAAAAATATTAACTTAAAAATTTTATAAGTATAAATATTTAGATATATTTAGTTTTTTAAATTAAATATTAATAAAAAGATTACACTATCTAGAATGTAAAAAGTTGCTTATAAAATAAAAAAATCACTTCAAATTATTTAAAAGTGATAAAAAACCCTATAATTGTAAAAACTACTTATAGATAAAAAAATATTAACCTCAACATTTTTAAATAAATACTTAGATATATTTAATTTTTAAAAATTAAATATTAATAAAAAAATTACTATAAATAATATTTAAAAAAATAAAAAATATAGGGACTCCGAAAACACTCCGTGCGCGAAGTGATTCACTCCGTCCAAGAAGTGAATGCATCGTGCACGGAGTGAATCACTCCGTGCGTGCAGTGAATGCACGAAGTGATTTTTCACTTTATGCATGGAGTTCCTTTTTTTTTTTTAATTTTATTTATAGTAATTTTTTTATTGAGGTTCTTTTTATTTATGATTGAATTTAATTTTTTCAATTATTTTTTTCTCTCTGTGAAAGGAGATTTTTTTTTCTATTTAAAATTTTTTCAATATTAATTTTTTTA